ATTTGCACTCAGCTTATTTGTTAGTTTTCAAGCAAATCGTGATGAGTCATACTGGGTTTTAGCTAAGAAGGTGTTAAGATTGTTTGACTGAGGTTTTGGTTGTGAAGTTTTTTTTTCTCTTAAGAATTTTGTGACGCACATGGGTCTACATGAGTCTTTTGACTCAATTTAAATGTGGAAGAGCAAGGTAATTTCTACATACCTAGCTTATTTCTTTAATGCAATGCTTTTTCCTCGTGATTATTATTTTCTTTATTGAACTTTGCAAGTTTATTTTAAGTTATGTTGTTGTTCAAGCTTGAATTTCCATACTGGAAACAATGTTAGGAGTTTCTTGGGAACTCTATTATTTGGATCAGAAATGTGGGAGTTATTTTGGTACCTAACTCTTCACTTATACCGTTATGTCTACAGTAATGTGTTTCTGGTGTATGTGTATGTGATCTTGGAGCGCTGGTACAGCTGAATTTGTGTCAAGTTTTCTAAGATTCTGCATATGCATCAGTTTCGACAACTGTTTTGGGAGTAACACTGATGGTTGATGAACCCAGTGATCACTGTTGTCTTGTTTTGATATGGTAAAATGTAATTATGCTACACTCATGTGGGAGAATGTAAGATGACTTATGTGAGTTGGCATAATCACATGTTGTGTTTATCATATTAGAACAAGATAATAGGGTTTGTATTTATCAGTTGTACTAAGACTCCTAGTTTTGACAGACTTGGTAGCTATATTATATTGATAAGGACTCAATTGCTTACGTTTATCAGTTTGTTTAAACACTAACTCTATCTATAATAGGAGAGTTATGGTTAAGGTTTGATCAATATAAAAGGACCTGATCCCTGCACTCACAAGTCGCCAAGTTCTATTTTGGGCTTGACCTATTGATAGCTAGAACATATTGAGACTTGCAGAGAGTAGAAGATCGTTCTTGTTTCATCTATGTATTCCTTGACAATTATGTATCAATAGTGAATCTGTTATTAATATTGCATAAGTCTTATGTTGTAATCCTTTGTGATGTTGATATGCCGCTAGAGGTGTATTCTTACATGTGGTATCAGAGCCAACTCAACATCCTTAGGGTTCAATTTTTAATATCCTTCAATGTAATAATGTTTCCCCTCAAAAAACAGAGTAATGTTTTAGACATAAGCATTGATGAGAATGAACACTAGCAATTGCGTTGAAGGTGGGTCGTTTCCAAAGGAAATTTTTGTGATGTTTAGTAGTGTATTATGATTTGAACAGAGATAAAAATAGTGATGCTTTCTATATATGTGTGTTTTTTCTTTGGAAAATATTAGATATCAAACCTCTAACTATTTTCTTATTGAAGATGTCACTCATACCTCTATGTTAAGCCTCCACTTATGATATTCAACCTATAAGTTATTGGAGACCTGGACCTGGAATCCTGATTATCTATCGTCAGTCCCTTCCCTTTCTATCAAAGAAACAGTGACAAGGAAATATAGCAATATGGAGTATTGTGAGGAGATAGAATAGAACCAAGTTTTAGACTCGATTGTATTCTGATTTTTCTGAACTTAATTTGTATTTATATATGAAATTACTTATTAATTTTCTTGAAATATATCTACCTTATATTTCATACATGTATTTTTTTATTTATTAATATAAGCGATAATACTACAAGGAAATGAGGTTTTCCACATACACACTACCAAGGAGACCCTTCAAATTCAAAGTCTTTACAGCATCACCCATCAAAGCCTTGCCGCATGCCAAAAAGGAATACAGAATCCACACCAAATGTAAACGCGTGAAACATGAAGATGGAATGTTGACGAAAAAAAATATTTACACACTCCTAGCCTTCTATAAATAAATGTAAGAATTCACTTATTGTGTGCTCATCAAACTTGAGAAAACTTGATTCCTATGATGGATATCTATCGCCTCAATATTTCTCACTATTTCCTCCTTTTGTTCTGCTTATTTGGTGATATCGAACTTGCAAGCACTAATGTGAAGTCAGTATGCATTGAGGAAGAAAGGCGAGCACTTGTGAGCTTTAAACAAGATCTTACTGATCCGTCTGGTAGGCTTTCTTCTTGGGTGGGTCATGATTGCTGCCAGTGGGAAGGGATTTCATGCAACAACCGCACCGGTCATGTCGCCAAAATAGATCTCCGGAATCCATATATCGGGGATTATGAAGAGTGGGACGAGGTTGCTTATAAGCAGTCTTGCTTGGGGGGTAAGATAAATCCTTCTTTGCTTAGCTTGAAACACTTATCTTACTTGGACTTAAGCGTGAATAATTTTGAAGGGATCCACATTCCTAAGTTCTTTGGGGAGCTTAAAACTCTGAGGTATCTCAATATCTCCTTTACATCGTTTGGGGGAGAGATTCCCCCTTCTCTTGGTAATTTGTCAAACTTGAACTATCTTGACCTCAGTCCTAACGATTATGTGTACTCCTCATTCGAAATACATTCCAAAAACTTGAATTGGCTTTCTCATCTCTCTTCCTTAAAATACCTCAGTCTCAAAGGAGTGAACCTTAGTAGTGCAGGAGTTCAAAATTCGCTGCATGATGTTAACATGCTTCCTTCCTTATTGGAGCTACACTTATCTGATTGCGAAATAGAAAGTCTTCCACTATCACTACATAGAATTAACTTCACATCACTTTTGGTCCTTGATCTGGCATTTAATTTTTTCAATACTTCTTCATTTCCCAGCTGGCTCTTCAATCTTACTAGCCTCATTAAACTTGATCTAGGCTGGAATTCTTTCAATCCAACACTTCCAAGGGAATTTACAAGCCTCAAATCTCTAGAATACCTAGACTTATCTTATTTGGGCCTCAAAGGTCAAATTCCGAGAGTCATTGGAAACTTGGGTAAGTTAAAGATGTTAAGTCTTCGGGAGAACAATTTTGATGGTGATGGGCTTGACGAGTTTTTGAAGAGTTTGTCACATTTTCCAAATAATACAGTCTTAGGGTCACTAGATTTGTCTTATTGTGGATTGGAAGGCCATATTCCGGCCTCCTTAGCAACGTTAACAAGTTTGGAGCATCTCCACCTTCCTTATAACTCTTTTTGGGGCTCAATTCCAGAATCTATTGGACACTTGTCATCCTTGGAAACATTGGACCTCAATAGAAATCATATGAATGGCTCCATTCCAGAAAGTTTGGGAAAACTCTCCAAACTAGTTGAACTAGATCTATCTTACAATGCATGGGAAGGCATTTTAACGGAAGCCCATTTCATAAATCTCACCAGCTTGAAACATATTTTAATGTACAACCTTGAATCTGGACAACAACAAAATGGAACCATGTCCATTTCCCTCATTTTCAACGTGGCTTATGATTGGGTTCCTCCTTTCAAGCTCCACACAATTGAGATTTCCAACTGTCGGGTAGGTCCTGATTTTGGGGTATGGCTTCAGTCTCAGACTGAACTAGTAGATGTCACCCTTAGTAATACTTTCATATCTGATTCCTTCCCAAATGAATGGTTCTTGAAGCTATCTTCCCAACTCAGAAATCTGGATTTATCTTACAACCGATTCCGAGGAAGTATTCCGTCCAACCAATTGATGAGATTTCCGAATTTACGTTATTTAAGTATGAGTCATAATCAATTTGAGGGCCCACTCCCACTTTGGTCTAGTAATGCCTTTTTCTTTGATCTCGAAAGCAATTTATTTTCGGGGCCAATTCCCTCCATTGTTGACCAGCTGATGCCCAACTTGGCATATTTGAACCTTTCAGAGAATCAATTGAATGGTACTATTCCACCTTCTATTTGCAACTTGGAAAACTTGGTACTGCTTTCCCTAAGGAGCAATCATTTTACTGGAGAATTCCCTAGTGCATGGAGGAGTGCGGGGAGGAACTTAAGGTTTGTAGATGTTGCGGACAACAATCTCTCTGGTGATATTCCCAGTTCAATCGGGGAATTAACTTCTCTTGAAAAATTACATCTGACCAACAACAATTTTAGAGGTAAAATTCCTGACTCCTTGCAAAATTGCTCTGTTTTGATGAGTATCGATGTTGGAGGCAACAAATTATCCGGGAGGTTACCTTCATGGATAGGAGGATCAAGTAGATCCATATTGTACATGCTACAATTGCGAAACAACTCTTTTAGTGGACATATTCCCCGACAATTGTGCAATCTTCGCTACCTTCGCATCCTTGACCTCAGCCACAACAACTTTTCAGGTACTGTTCCCAGCTGTTTGAATAATTTGACTTCTCTCATTGTTGATGATTTCGAAGGACTTGATGGAAACTATACTGAGCAAACCATCCTAACAGTTAAAGGAAGAGAATTTGTATATAACAGGACTCTAATGCTGGTAAAGACTATTGATCTTTCATCAAATATTTTAGGAGGTGAAATCCCTCAAGAGATATGTAGCCTCATTCTATTGGGTACCTTGAACTTGTCGAGGAATCAATTGACAGGTAACATCCCCACTGAGATTGGAAATATGCATGGTCTCGAAACTCTTGATCTCTCACACAACCATCTTTCAGGACACATTCCTCAAACCCTTGCATCTTTAACATTTTTGTCCCACTTGGATTTGTCTTATAACAACTTGGTGGGAAGAATTCCTTTGGGCAGTCAACTCCAAACGTTCACTGATTCGTCAATTTATACGGGCAATCCATCTCTGTGCGGGATTCCTCTCCCAAACAAGTGCCCTGAAGATGACACTTCTACCACTGCAAATGCAAAACACAGTAATGAAGATGAAAATGATAAGTTGTGGTTCTATGTGAGCATGGTGCTTGGCTTTGTAGTAGGTTTTTGGGGTGTTTGTGGCACATTAATCGTGAAGAAATCATGGAGGTATGCATATTTTCGATTCGTTGATGACATCAAAGATAAGGTAACACTAGCAATAGCATTGAAAGTGGCTCATTTGCAAAGGAAGTTTTGTGATGTGTAATATAGTATATGATGTGTTTCCTTCTTCTTCTTTTTTTCTTTTTTGCTTATGTGATACTTGCACGCTATGAAATTAGTGTTTCCATGTATCAATTATTTACAGTACGAATAAATGTACTTGGGATGCTAAAATAAAGTTATGATGCACTCTTGCTTATGTTTTCACAAAGAGAGATGGGAAAAGATGACTATTCGCTAAATATATTGGAACTTTGTTCTTCATCTTTGTTATTATTTGAAGTATATTTGGCCTTTATTAAAACCGTAACCTGAAAAGTATAGGTGTTTTGCCTACTTTTCTCTAGTTTTAATCTTTGTACGGAGATGCATTCTGAGGTGGAAAACTCGTCTCATCCCTTGACTATGTTGTATGAAAAATAAAAATAAAAATTACATGCACCATTGAGTTTTTTTTCTTTTTTTTTTAGTTTAATTTTTTTAATGGATTGTGTCATCACAAATATGAATGAAGTTGAACAAAAACGATTTTGGCGGTAAAATTCCTTTTTTCCTTGCAAAATTTATCTTCATTGTCAATGATTGATCTTGGTGACAACATTTATGGGAAAGATACCTTCAAACATATATGGGATACAAGACTTACTGGTGCATGTAAGTCGTCCTACGTCCAAATAATAAACAGCCATCATGAGTACTAAAGAAAACACTGGCTTTGTCTGCAAAGGAGTGAAGAAAAAAAATCATGATGATATGATCAACCTAAAAAAGTTAGTAACTTGTGGGATTTTTATGTGGATTTTGTTGTTGCTTATCTGGTTTCATTGTTCCATGTCAGGTTTGATGCTGAACCATTTACTTAGAAAAAGAAAAAGGATGTGTAAATTTTGTATATATACAACAAAATTAAATAATATCATGAGTTAATTTCTTTGCACTCACCATATAAACACATAGAAGCATGGCTAGCTAGCATTTGCCCAACAACTAACCATTTTCTCCGAAATGGAATTACAATTTGAGCAGCCAAAAAGCAGAATATAGTTTAGTCAAGAAAATGCATTAACTAGGTACACAGAGAGAACCATGGCTAGAATTTGCCAAACTAAACCACTTTCTCCAATATGGACTTACAATTTGAGCAACCAACAAAAAGTAGCCTTGTATAAATGTATGAGTTCACTTATTGTATGCTCATCTTCTGCAAATTGCGAAAACTTGATTCGTATCATGGATATCTATCGCCTCAATATTTTTCACCATTTGCTCCTTTTATTATGCTTATTTGGTGATATTGGACTTGCAAGCACTGGTGTGAAACCAAAATGCATCGAGGAAGAGAGGCGAGCACTTGTGAGCTTTAAACAAGATCTTAAGGATCAGTCTGGTAGGCCTTCTTATTGGGTGGGTCATCATTGCTGCCAGTGGGAAGGGATTTCATGCAACAATCGCACCGGTTATGTTGCCAAGATGGATCTCCATAATCCAGATTATTCATTCAAACTCTGCAAATTAAGGCCATTTTTCACTGGTTAGCTTTTGATATAGCCAAATTGGGAGAGGCTAACTATATAAATCCAAACTCCTATATAAATTAAAACAACTATATAAGAGTATCAAGACTAAACACATGTACACATACCAAGACTTATATATAAACTATCTATTGACCTTTAAGAATACATTTACTAGCTCGAAACCATGAAGAACAACTTATTCCAAAAAATACAAGACCAAAAGAAAAAGACCACACAAAATAACTTATCCGCTCACTATTGCATGCTGGAGGAGACCCTTAAAGTCTCCGTAACATGTATTTCTCAAACTATCTGTCACCAAAGACTTATTGGATCCAAGATTTCCACATCTAAAAGATTATATAACTCAGTGCATGTAAGTCGTTGTCCCAAAAAAGAGCCACTGGATGGATGAAAGCAAGCTTTGGCCACAACGGTCAAAATTGATGGGGGCAAAAAACCAAAAATTGTGAGACTTGATAGCTTTTGTGGTCTTAAACTGTCACGTTATATATGGAAACTATACTAGACTAGCTTTTGTGTACATGATTGGACTTGCAAGTTGCAACCTTGCGAAATGGGTTAAGGACCTGGAATCTTGATTATCTATCCTCAATCCCTTTCTTTTTTTTCTTTTTAATTTTTTAACTTTTTTTAGACTCTTAAATTCAATGCCAAAGTTTCCAACCAACAAAAATTGATTTCAATTTATTTAAGAGGAATGCTATTCACAATCGCTCAAAAGCGATTGTCAAAGGACTTGCTATACACGTGTACACGTTCTCATGCCTTCCCAAAAAAAAATGATTTTTTCTCTTTCTTCTCTCGGTGGCCTCCCTCTCTCTCTCCCTTTCTGTTTTTAATTAGTTTTTCTCTCTCTCTCTCCCCCTCTTTTTTCTCTCTCTCTTCTTCTCTCCGCCTGTCTCCATCTCCCTTCTGTTTTTTTTTTCCATCGCTCTCCCTCTCTTCTCTCCTCCTCCTGCTTCTTCTACTTCTTATTTTCTTTTTCCCCTCCGTCTTCTTCTCTGTGTCTGTCTCCATCGATGGGTTGTAAAAACCCAAACTTTTTGTAACACAAAAACAAAAACCCCAAGCTTTAAAAACCCAAACTTCTTCCTCTCTGTCTGTCTTCCCCCAAATCACAGTTCTCTCCCTCATATTTCTTAACTTTCTTCTCCTTTTTTGTGTTCATTTGATGGGTAATGATTAAATCAGCAGGAGAGAAACGCAGCAATTGTGGGAATCAGAAACACAAAAACTCAAGGAGAGAAACCCAGAAATTTGCAGCGTCATAGAGAAAAGGAGAGAAACACAGAAATTTTTTTGGAGAAACGAAGGGAAAAAACAAGACTAATAGGAAGGAGAGAGAAAAGGAAGACAATAATTTTTTTGTGTTTAGTTGTTGTCTGGGCTTAGCCCCCGTTTGTTAAGAAGTAGAAGAAGCAGGAGGAGGGAGGCAACAGAGAGAAGAAGAGGAAGAGAGATGGAAAAAGAGATGGAGACAGGCGGAGAGAAAAAAGAGGGAGAGAGAGAGAGAAAAACTAATTAAAAACAGAAAGGGAGAGAGAGAGGGAGGCAACCGAGAGAAGAAAGAGAAAAAATCATTTTTTTTTGGGAAGGCATGAGAACGTGTACACGTGTATAGCAAGTCCTTTGACAATCGCTTTTGAGCGATTGTGAATAACATTCCTCTTTATTTAAAGCATGAAATTCCAAAATGGCTGTGTCACAGCTCACAGGCCAAGTCAGAAAATATTCAGGCTCCATATCCACTTGGACGACTTTCCTAATTAAGGCCATTAAATTATTGGTCTGTTTGCTTCAGACTTTGTGCACCGCTGTAAACCTAAATTTACCGTCTCCCGTCAGACATCACTGAAAGTAAGCGGTAAAAACAACATAAAAGCTGAACTGCCTCTCAATTTTAAGTCAAAGTCCCGCGTACATGAGAAATTCAAAATAATTATTTTTTATAACTCTAGTACAAACCTATTAAGAATATAGAAAATCCGACGGCATGGGTAAATTTCATTAATAACTAAAAAAATACACCTAGTTAAGGGGCACATAAAAAGACTTACCCTTTAAATGCATATAGTACATGTTAGAAAATAATTAATTCATCAAATCCTAATTGATAATTCATTATTCATACAAGTAAGAACTCCAAAATCATTACCACAACAACAATAACATGTTAAAGATTAGCTTATTTTCTTCCCTTTCTCAATATTGAATGAGTAGCTGCCTTATATTTAGAGTCTAATTAGGAATTTTTCGAGCTTGGTTATGATTGAATAATTTTGGTTTAATGTTTGAATTGTAGGTACGACGACGCTTATTACAGCAATTGCTAAAACATTTAATTTAATGGTTTTTTTTTTCTTTTTATTTAGAGGAATGGAAGGGCAAGACTTCAACCCTCGTCATGGGCCGAAGCTTAGAGGACTCCCGAATTCAATGTAATGCTTAGAAAACTCCGGGATTCAAAACGAGGCTTAGAGAACTCCCGGATTCTCTAGGCCTTGCATTGAATGAATATACATGTACACCCAGAGAGAGAGAGAGAGAGAGAGAGAGTGTTGATGACAATGATAGTGACGAGTCTAGAAAATGCATTTAACTCCCATCTACTGACTGGATTGGATTTTCAAACTTGCAAAAGGGGGTTTGATTTTTATGTGCTAGCTCCTTTGGCTAGCTTTGTATAAAATAAAAATAGTGATGTTTTCTATATATGTGTGTTTTGTCTTTCGAAAATATTATTAGATTAAATTCCAATTTGGACTCTTGTTTTGACACAACATAATAATGGTTGTCTTTGCAAAATCTCTTGTACCTAATCAGATACCTAAAATCAAATACAACCACTTGCACTTGCAGCAGACAAATCCCTCAGGCAAAGCAATTGTTTCGACGACAGTCTTTCTTGGGGTCCAGTAGGAGCACGTCCTGTTCACTATCTGGCTACCACACCTTTATTAGTTTGAATTAGTCTCTACAATCCAAATACATTAGAAAAATAACTCATTCAGCAAGGACCAGACTAGCATTGATGAGAATGATAGTGATGAGGTGACACTAGCAATTGCGTTGAAGGTGGGTCGTTTTCAAAGGAAATTTTGTTGTGATGTTTAGTAGTGTATTATGATTTGAATAGAAATAAAAATAGTGATGCTTTCTATATATGTGTGTTTTTTCTTTGGAAAATATTAGATATCAAACCTCTAACTATTTTCGTATTGAAGATGTCACTCATACCTCTATGTTCAGCCTCCACTTATGATATTCAACTTATAAGTTCTTCTTCATCCGGATTCATTTTAACTCCAATTCGAATCATTGTGCCATATCTGGAATTTTAATGTGGATTTTGTTTCTTGCTTGGCTGGTTTCATTGTGCCATATCAGGGTTAATGCAAAAGTAATAAGCCAACCAGACATCATTGGAGACCAACAATTAATCATCCTTGCTCAAACCCTTTACTTAGGAAAAGAAAAAGGATGTGTAAATTTTGTATGAATA